AGAATTCAATTGGACGAGGACCAGGCAGAACTACAGAGGGATCTGGACAGGCTGCAGGCTTGGTCCAGCAACTGGCTTCTGGAGTTCAACCCCACCAAGTGCAAAGTCATGAAGATTGGGGAAGGGCAAAGAAGACCACAGATGGAGTACAGTCTAGGGGGCCAGAGCCTACAAACCTCACTCAAGGAACAGGATCTTGGTGTGCGTATAACACCGGGCACATCTCCTGATGTGCGCACAACCAAATAACTGCTGCAACATGTGGGCACCTGGCAAACCTAAGAACAGCATTCCGACATCTAAATAAGGATTCATTCAGGACCCTGTACATTGTACGTTAGGCCATATTGGAGTATACAGCACCAGTTTGGAACCCTCACATAGCCAAGCATGTAAGGGAACTAGAGAAAGTGCAAAGGTTTGCAACAAGACTAATCCCAGAGCTAAGGAATATGTCCTACAAGGAGAGGTTAAGGGAAATAGACTTGATGACACTGGAAGACAGGAGGGATAGGGGGGATATAATGATGACATATAAAATACTGAGAGGAATCGACAAGGTGGACAGACAGAATGTTCCAGAGAAGGGACACAGCAACAAAGGGTCACAGTTGGAAGTTGAAGACTTGGATGAACCACAGGGATGTTAGGAAGTATTTCTTCAGTCACAGAGTTGTCAGGAAGTGGCCTCGTCTGGGTAATGATGTAGTGGAGGCAGGATCCATACATAGCTTTTAGAAGAGGTATGATAAAGGTCGTGGAGCGAGAAGAGTGACCGAGTAGCAGCCAGTGGAGAGGCAGGGCCAGGAGCTGTGACTTGACCCCTGCAACCACAACTAGGTGATTTGTCACATGCACACACGCACGCACGCGCACACACACACACGTGCGCACACACACACACACGCACGCACATCTTGCCATCTATTTCCCCAAGCAGATATAGCTCTCAGCTGGTGATTGATGTAGCTTAGAGCAGCTGGCATTTCTTCTCTTGGATAAGTGAATGTCAGTGCACAGTCGTCTGCATATGCATGTGATTCTGGGATGAGATGAAGAAGGTCGTTGAAGTAGACATTACATAACAATGGTCCCAGTACGCTTCCTTGTGGAACACTTGCTCCAATAGGATGTCTTGCTTATTCCGTTACATTGAGAACTACACTTAGAGATCTACCATGAAGGTAATCACTGAGGAGACATAACATAGAGCCTGCAATTCCCAGTGCTTGAAGTTTTGCTAAGAGGCCCTGGTGCCACACCCGGTCGAAAGCGCCAGCAGTGTCCAGTGCTACCACACAGCTGACTTTGGATTCATCCAGTGACTGGTGTCACTTGGTGGAGAGGTTTAACAACAGATCAGCAGCAGAGTAACCTTTCCTGAAGCCATATTGACCATCACAAAGTAGTGAGTGGTAGTCAAAAAACTGTCATTTGTCTTGAGATTATTTGTCTCAAGGATCTTACCAGTGATTGACAGGAGTGACACTGTTCTGTAGTTGCTGATTTCTGCTCTGCTCTTCTTTTTGTGAACAGGGACTACTTTTGCCTCTTTACATAGAGAGGGCCATTTACCCTGTACTAGGCAGCGCTGAAAGATGCGAGTTAGAGGTGCTGCTAGCTGGTCTGCACATCTTCTCAGCAATCTTGGGCTCAGCTTGTCTGGGCCCACAGCCTTTTCTTGGCCAAGCGATTTAAGAAGGAAATGCACCTCCTCCTGCCTTATTGTCTCCCTCTCTCCCTCTCTCACTCTCACTCTCTCACTCTCACTCTCACTAGCATGGGCATAACATTGAAAGTACTTGAAGGTAATTGCGACATGGATAAAGAATATTTAAAAAAAAAAAAAAATTGGTATAGGACTGAGGGAGCGTAAATGGAAATCACACCAAAATCAGTCATACATGTGCAAGAAGTACAGTGGACCCCCGCATAGCGACTTTAATCCGTGCAAGAGGGCTCATTGTTATGCGAAATGATCGGTATGCGAATGAATTTTTCCCATAAGAAATAATGGAAATCAAATTAATCCGTGCAAGACACTCAAAAGCATGAAAAAAAAAAATTTTACCACATGAAATGTTAATTTTAATACACACAAACTGAAAAAGGCATGCACAATTACATGACACTTACTTTTATTGAAGATCTGGTGATGATTGATGGGATGGGAGGAGGGGAGAGTGTGTGTTAGTGTTTAGAAGGGGAATCCCCTTCCATTAAGACTTGAGGTGTCGAGTCCTTTTCTGGGGTTACTTCCCTTCTTTTAATGCCACGAGGACCAGCTTCAGTCACTGGACTTCTTTCGCACAACATATCTGTCCATAGTGGCCTGTACCTCTCGTTCCTTTATGACTTCCCTAAAGTGTTTCACAACATTGTCAGTGTACAGGTTGCCAACACAGCTTGCAATAGCTGTGTGAGGGTGATTTTCATCCATGAAGGTTTGCACTTCAAGCCACTTTGCACAGATTTCCTTAATCTTTGTAGTAGGGCAACTTCTTCAATTTCTCTCTCCCCTCCTCTGAACCAGTTTTCCTCAGGTCTGGCCTCTTGCTGTTGAAGTTGATCTATCAGCTCAATCAGTGGTTTAGTTCTTCATTGTCCTCCTCCACCAACTCTTCCACATCATCCCCACTAACCTCCAACCCTAAGGACTTTCCCAATGCCACAATGGATTCCTCAACTGGCATAATCCTCTCAGGGTTAGCCTCAAACCCTTCAAAATCCCTTTTGTCTACACATTCTGGCCACAGTTTCTTCCAAGCAGAGTTCAAGGTCTTCTTAGTCACTCCCTCCCAAGCCTTACCTATAAGGTTTACACAATTGAGGATATTAAAGTGCTCTCTTCCAAAACTCTCTTAGAGTCAGTTGAGTTTCTGAGGTCACTACAAAGCACCTTTCAGTTTTTTGAAGTTTGCAATAACCTGCTGGTCCATGGGCTGCAGGAGAGGAGTGGTATTAGGAGGCAAAAACTTCACCTTAATGAATTTCATGTCCCCATAAAGTCGCTCTGCCACGTCTGTAGGATGACCAGGGGCATTGTCTGACACCAGGAGGCACTTAAGTTCTAATTTCTTTTTAGTTAGGTAATCTTTCACATTGGGGGCAAATGCATGGTGTAACCAGTCATAGAAAAAGTCCCTAGTAACCCATGCCTTACTGTTTGCCCTCCACAGCACACAAATTCTCCTTGAGGACATTCTTTTGCCTGAACGGTCTGGGAGTTTGAGTGATACACTAATAAAGGCTTCACTTTGCAATCACCAGTAGCATTGGAACACATCAACAAAGTAAGCCTGTCTTTCATAGGCTTATGTCCTGGGAGTGCCTTTTCCTCCTCAGTAATGTAGGTCCTGCTTGGCATTTTCTTCCAAAACAGGCCTGTTTCATCACAATTAAACACTTGTTCAGGTTTGTCCTTCACTGTCTATGTACTCCTTGAATTCCTGCACATATTTTTCAGCTGCTTTGTGGTCCGAACTGGCAGCCTCACCATGCCTTATCACACTATGTATGCCACTACGCTTCTTAAATCTCTCAAACCAACCTTTGCTGGCCTTAAATTCACACACATCATCACTAGTTGCAGGCATTTTTTTAATTAAATCCTCATGCAACTTTCTAGCCTTTTCGCTTATGATCTCTTGAGAGATGCTATCTCCTGCTAGTTGTTTTTCATTTATCCACACCAATAAGAGTCTCTCAACATATTCCATCACTTGCGATCTCTGTTTCGAAAACACAGTTAAACCTTTGGCAAGAACAGCTTCCTTGATTGCCTTTCTGTTGCCCACAATAGTAGCGATGGTTGATTTGGGTTTCTTGTACAACCTGGCCAGGTCGGCGACACGCACTCCACTTTCATACTTATCAATGATCTCTTTCTTCATCTCTATTGTAAATTCTCACCCTTATTGCTGTAGGGTTGGCACTAGAAGCTTTCTTGGGGCCCATGGTCACTTATTTGGCAGATAAAATCACCAAAAACACTGTAATAATACGAAATGTTCCGATTGTATGCTTGGATGTTACCGCGGAGGCAGGCTGGTAAACAATGCCACCGGCGGCACATGTGAGGCTGGCTAAGGGCGCACATTGGACGCGTCTCGGACGAAGAGCGGTGAGCGGGTTTTTGAGCGGTATGCGAGGCAAAATTTTTGCAATAAAAGCGAGCGGTATGCGGATTGTATGTTATGTGATGGCGACGGTATGCGGGGGTCCACTGTAACTAGTCCAGCATAGGTAATTAGCAAATGAAATGTACTCTTTTTGGAGGTACTAGGAACTCTTTTGAAATTCACATAAATAAAGACTCATTAGTTGGGGATTAATTATACCAGACCATACCCCGGCTGGGATTGAACCCGAGTTTTGAGACTCTCTGACCGCGGGTTCAATCCCGGCCAGGGTATGGTTTGTTTGCAATCGTGTCATTACGATTTCGTGAGTTAATTATACCAGTCTTTTAATGGTTAATAAGCAAGGCCCACGAATTTGGTTCTTTACCCCTATTCTTAAACCAACCGACCTAGCTCTTCCCCATTACCTCATGTGAGTGCTTTTCACAAGGAGGTTCAAATACCCTACACACATGCAGTTTTTTCAAAATTCTGCAAAAGTCCTTACGTGAGGGAATGTGCTTTAACATGCCTCTTTTAAATTTATATAAGAAGCTACACATTATATAAAGTGACTAGTCACAACTATATACCATATTTCTACATTATACCATCTAATTGCTTTAAACTGCACATTTTCAGCATCTTATTTTGATGTATATTCCAGAACCTTTTCATAAATCATTTGTATTAATTGCTTACAATATTATAATGTGTTATACGTTATTTGTATGTTTAGTCTGGCTTCAACATAGTGATATCTTTGTTGCCATGATGGTTCTGGAGAGGTTCTGGGATGACATTAGAGAGCTTTATGATCTTTGTTTTATTTGCTTAGTATGGATGATGCATTTTGTTGGGGTTTGTGTGTGTTTGTAGTGAGGCGAGTGTCACAAGATGCACGCAGTCCCTCACCATCTCCAAAGATGATGGGATTCAACGGCTCTGGGCCCATGTCTCCCATCCCAGGCGGTTATGCTAGCAGGCGCACATCACAAGAAGGATACCACCTTGATGGTTAGTCAACCATGCCAGTGCTTGTTGCATGAACTTTGTGCAATGAGATTACAATGTTGAAGGCTTGTATATGATATTAAAAAGAGAATAAGCTTGTATGATTAGACAGTTTAGTAAAAAAAATTTTTTAGAGAGTAAAATTGTATTTTTTGAATACTGTTTTGGTATCATGAAAATAGGTTAGTCACTTTAATCATCCATGCAGTTCAACAGCTTTGTTACACTAATTCCATTTATGGCAAGCCGTGTACAAAGTTTAAGCATGATGGGTGAAGAGGGAAAAGCTCTAGGCTTTTTTGTCTTGCTGCTTGGGTGGCTATTTTTTTTTTTTTCTAAATGTTAAACAGTAAGCTTAAACTTAAAAATTTTGATTGTAAATTTTAAGTTGAACCCATTATGTGGGTTTCATGTCTTACGGTGTACCTTAAATAAATAATTAAATTTTTTCGTTGCAAGTGATTTTAATGTTTTTTTTTTTTGTATATATATTGACAGATATGAGTCCTATCCAAAAGGAACTGATGCAGGTTAACAACCGTTATGATATGATTGGAATGAGGCTTACTGATCGCCAGAATGATTTGGATATTATGAAAGATGAATTGAAGAAGTTGGCAGAAAACATTAGGTCTATCACCTTAACTCTAGAAAAGTCTGAGCGCAGTATGCCACGAGAAGCGGTACCTACTACCAGGGAAGAGGCTGACAAGCATAATAGACAGTGTAAGGCTATATTAGATGATCTTCTTGAGAAACAGCCAGCTTTGGATTCATTGAAAATTCAGGTGGCAGAACTGATTAAAAAGCGACCAACAGCTCCAGGTGCTGATATCTTGAAGGATCAAGTAGACCTTATAAGTGATCGTTATAAAGAACTTCAGGGTCGCTTGAAAGATCGACTTAGTTTCTTAGAACATACAAAGGATTTCCTTGAGAGTTATGATTCTCTGAACAACTGGCTTAGTTCAAAAGACAGAATGATGACTGTACTTGGGCCAATAGCATCAGATCCTCGTATGGTACAAATGCAGGCTCAGCAAGTGCAGGTGTTGAGAGATGAGTTTCAGGCACAAGAACCAAAACTCAGCGATCTTAATGACTCAGGTGATGCAATTATTGGAGTATGTGAACCAAACTCAATGGGTGCGAAGAAAATCAATGACAAATTGGATGCTATCAACAATAAATGGACGGAGCTAATTGGTCAGCTAGATACTCGTAATTCTGCTCTCAATGCAGCTTCAGATGCCAGTACAGACTTTTATGATAATTACAACAAATTACATGATGCCCTTACAAAGTTAGGTGATGATTTTGATGAAGTTACTGCTGGTGGTGCAGATTCTGCTAAGCAGATAGAGGCTGTCAATGCACTGGAAAAAGGTTTGGAGAAAGCACGTGGCGCTTTGATTGATCTAGAAGGTCTTGGTGAGCACCTTATATCTATTTTATCTGATCCATCTTCTAAGACTGATATAAAGTCTAAAATAACTCAGCTCAACAAGATGTTTAACCATCTTGAAAAGAAACTAGGTAACCGTAAATCTGAACTGGAGGCATCACTCAGAGATGAAGAGGTGTTTGGCCAATCGTGCCAGGATATTCAAGAATGGCTAGCAGATCAAGTAGCTCATTTAAAGGATCGTCTGTTAGTTTCTGCAGATAGAGATCTATTGTCAAATCAAGTTAGTGACTTTGAACCCATCTATAAGGATCTTATGGCTAAAGAACATGAGGTCATAATGATGATCAATAAAGGTAAAGATATTGTTGCAAAATCGTCCCGTAAGGATCTTAATCGTCAGTTATCAGATACACTGGATGCTATCAAAAAAGAGTGGGATAATGTTCGTAAGACGGCTGTAGACCGTCGCACAAGACTACAGAAATGCATGGATACTTGTAAAAAGTTCCACAGTCAGCAGGACAAGTTCAATCCTTGGCTAGATAAGGCTGAAGAGAGAGTACAATCTTTAGAACCTATTGCCTTTGCAAAGAAAGCCATTGATAAGCAGATAAAGGAAATACAATCATTCAAGAATGAAGTGTCTCGCCGTAGTGGAGAATATGAGAACAACAGAACTGCTGGTGAAAAACTGATTTCATGTACGGATACTGATCATGAAGGTGTTGAAGATGCTCTTGCATTTATGAAAGAACGCTGGGACCACCTTAATGCTGTTGTTTTTGCACGTGCTCAAGACCTAGATGATGTTGCGGCAAAATTGGCAGATTTCAATGACAAAGCTAGAGACCTTGACCATACATTACAACGCTGTGGAGACAGATTAGCTTCTCTTGATGCACTTGGTGGAGCAGGAAAAGATGCAAAATCTTTAGAGAGGATGAAAGCTCTTCTTGATGAAACTGATGCACTTGGTAAGCAGGTAGACCAAGTAAAGATTAAGGGTGAAGATTTGTGTGGTGCAGCTGATGCCCTTGGTTCAGATGCTAATCATATCCAGGAACAGGTTGAAAATCTTGCAGACCGCTATGGTGACTTGAAGGGCAAATTGGAGGATCGCTGTCATGATCTGGAAGAGGCATCACAAGCTGTCAATCAGTTTGGTGCCCTAGTTAAAAATGTGGGTCAAGAATTAACAAGCTTAGATGATGAACTTGATCGCATGGGACCTGTTGGAAGAGACAGGAAGACTGTTTCTAGTCAGATTGACCAACTTCAGAGTTTCCTGTCAAAGGTTGACCACAAGAATGAAGAAATTGAGGATGCTAAAGCAGCTTTAGATGATTTAGTCACACAAGGATTCACAGGACCTAACAACCGTGCAGCTGAAGACCAAATTAAACAGCTTGGACGACAATTGAAGAAAATTCAAGACAGATGTGATACACGTGCAAAGGAACTTGATACTGTCTTGAAGAAACTAGATAATTTCTATAACAAATACAACTCTGTCATGGATGATATACAAGAAGCAGATAAGGAAGGAGATACATTCAAACCAGTGGGTGCAGATGTAGACACCATTATTGCCCAACAGGAAGAGTTCAAGCATTTCAAGGGAGAAAGGGTAGAGGTTCTCGGAAAGCAGGTTACTGAATGTAACAAACTAGGACAAGGCCTCATTCAGAGTGCTGCTTCTGGTGTAAACACACAAGACCTAGAAAATGACATTGATGCAATGAATGAGTCTTGGAATAAGTTGAAAGTGATGATTGGTGACAGAGAGAAAGCTTTGGATAAGGGCTTAATGCAATCTGGTAAATTCCAGGATGCATTGGATAGCATGCTGCAGTGGCTAGGAAACTTTGAAGAAATGATGGAAAATCAGGCACCTATCTCTGGAGAATATTCTGTAGTAAAGGCCCAAGCACAGGAACAGAAATTCTTGAGGAAAATGCTCATAGACCGTCAAAATGAAATGCAATCTCTGCTTGCCATGGGCCGTAATTTAGCAGCTGATTTGGAGCCATCTGAAAAGGCAGCAGTAGAAGGGCAGTTAGACGATTTGCTTAATCGCTTTGATGATGCCAGTGCTCGATCACAAGAGCGCATGGAAGCTCTTGAAGAAACACTGAAGGTTGCTAAGGAATTCCAGAATAAACTCAATCCTATTACTGAATGGCTAGACCGTACTGAAAAAAAATTAAAGGAGATGAGCACTGTACCATCTGATGAAGAAAAAATACAAAAACTTCTCGATGAACATGATAACCTTCATGATGAAATTCTTGGGCAAAAACCAGCATTTGATGATCTCACTGATGTAGCCACTGCTCTTATGAGTCTTATTGGAGATGATGAAGCCAATGCTTTAGCAGACAAATTACAAGCTACCACTGACAGATATGGGCAGTTGGTAGAAGATTCGGAGGTACTTGGTCGCCTCCTTCAAGAGTCTAAGGTTGGCCTTCGTCACCTTGTACTTACCTATGAAGATCTCTTGTCATGGATGGATGAAATGGAAGCGAGACTTTCTAAATATCGCATTTTGTCAGTATTTGTGGAGAAGCTCTTGGAACAGATGGATGAGCTGACAGATCTTGGGGAAGAGGTAGTTTCACATGAAAAACAAGTGGCTGAGGTTATGGATGCTGGTTCTAATCTGATGAAACACATCTCAAGTGATGAAGCTCTTCAGTTGAAAGATAAGCTGGACTCTATACATAGACGTTACAATGATCTCAGTGCCAAAGCTACTGACCTACACAAAGCAGCTAATGAAGCATTGCCACTTGTTCAACAATTCCACAATGCCCATGAGCGCTTGGGATCATGGATGTTGTCTGTTGAAGGTCAACTTCAAAGCATAGACTCGTCTGGTCAAGGGCTGTTGGAGGAAGAAATAGAGAGGTTGGCTCATGAAATACAAGAAAACCGTCCATTAGTGGAGGCAGTAAATCTTGTGGGGCCACAGTTATGTCAGATTTCTCCAGGTGAAGGGGCCTCAAATATTGAGACCTTAGTAACAAGAGACAATAGAAGGTTTGAACAAATTTGTGAACAAATTCAGAGACGAATGGAGAGAATTCATATGTCCAAACAAAGATCACAGGAAGTCACTCAAGATATAGATGAACTTCTAGGCTGGTTCCGTGAGGTAGAAGGCCAGATACGTGAAGCTGAACCTCCAAGTGTGGATCCTGAAGAAATCAGAATCCAGTTGAAAGAACACAAGGCTCTGAATGATGATGTAGCTAGTCAGAAGGGCAGAGTAAGAGATGTTTTGTCCAATGCCAAGAAAGTATTGAGAGAGTCGCCACATCATGAAGACACCAGTGAACTTAGAGAAAAAATGGATGATCTTAAGGAAACTATGGAGTCAGTTTCTAAACTATCATCAGATAGGTTATCTACATTAGAACAGGCCTTACCTCTGGCTGAACACTTCTTTGACACTCACCATGAGCTGGATGATTGGCTTGCAGTCATGGAAAATGAAGCAATGGTGATGGATACTCCTGCTCTTAGAGCTGATCAAATCATACGCCAGATGGAGAGGAACAAGACATTCCTTCAGTCTATTGGAGACCATAAACCTCTTCTTGACAAACTCAACAAGACTGGTGGGGCCCTTCTGAAACTTGTTAATGATGAAGATGGAGCTAAAATTCAAGAACTTTTGGAAAGTGATAATGATAGATACAATGCACTTAAATATGCACTTCGTGAACGTGGTCAAGCTCTAGAGGATGCTTTACAGGAAACTAGTAAATTCTCTGACAAATTGGATGGCATGCTTTCTTCTCTGGCTGAGACTGCTGACCAAGTAAAGAATGCAGAACCTATCTCGGCCCATCCTGAGAAGATACACGAGCAAGTGCAAGAAAATAATGGTATCATAGATGATCTCGATAGAAAAGAATCTGCCTTTGCTGCTGTAAAGGCTGCTGCAGAAGATGTCATTAGCAAAGCCTCGCGAAATGACCCAGCTGTGAAGGACATAAAAACTAAGCTGGATCGCCTTAATAAGCTATGGGATATGGTACAGATGGCAACAACTCAACGTGGCCAGTCCCTGGAAGATGCACTCTCGATGGCTGAAAAGTTCTGGGATGAACTGCAAAATGTTATGACTGCATTGAAGGATCTTCAGGAAACCCTTAAGGCTCAAGAGCCAGTGGCAGTGGAACCACAAGCCATTAAACAACAACGTGAAGAATTATCCCAAATAAAGAGCAAGATAGATCAGACTAAGCCAGAAGTAGAACAGGTTCGCCAAACTGGTCGGGACTTGATGACACTATGTGGAGAAGCTGATAAACCTGAGGTTAAGAAGAACATTGAAGACTTGGATTATGCATGGGACAATGTCACTGCTCTCTATGCCAAACGTGAAGAGAACCTAATTGATGCTATGGAGAAGGCTATGGAATTCCATGACACATTAAGGGTGAGTTAGAGCCTAATGCTGATTTATTTTTTTCTGTAGTATGAAAAATAATTACTTAAACTAGTTAGTCACTATCATAGAAGCATTGCCATTAATTAGGCATTGTTTTCATTATGCCCAGAATCTAGCACCACTTTGTAGTCTTTGTCTATTAGTTCCCTTTCAGTTAATGTTTTATTATTTATATTTCCCTACAATCTTGACATTTTTTCTTTCTTTTGCACATACATGTGATCTGTTGCTTCATTCTTTGTAAAAAAAAAAAAAAAAAAAAAAAACTTGCTCTACAGGAGCAGCTAAGCACTAAAAATACTGTTAAGTTTTAGGTTGTTATTTGGAAGTATAAAATAAAACACGAGTGCCACTTTTTCAAATAATGACTAGAGATTAATCGTACAGAATATGTTGGAGTTCTTGGAGAAGGCAGAGGATAAATTTAATGGAATGGGCCCCATTGCTGGAGACATAGAAGCTATCAAAGAACAAATTAATCAGCTGCACAAGTTTAAGGATGAGGTCGATCCCCACATGGTGAAAGTTGAAGCCCTGAACAGGTAATGCATCTTGAAATAAAACCTTTTATTGTTGCTTGCTGGAATATTTTTTTTATAGATTATTTTATATTGAATTTTTATAATCTACATGTGGATTAAGAAAACAATAAACTTATATTTTAGGGAAAATGTGATGATTAAATAAATCAAATATTGATTAAATATTAATTTACTGAGTACAGTTTTCTAAGCGTGTTTCTCCTACATCCTCTCCTGATGTAACACCAGGAGTCTAAGAAGGCAAGTTAGGTTGGTTTATTATATCTGTGGCTTCACATACAGCAAATAAAGCTTTGTAGATATGTGATTGTCTGGAAAATTTGAATTTGTCTTTTTTGCAAAGTGTTATGCTCATGCCTGATTTTGTGAATGGGATACAACAAAACTTGAATTAGACAATTTAGTAATTAACCCCCTCAGCTTGGCACATAAATATGCAGCCAAGATTGTAAGGGAGTGTGGAGATATATATTTGTATATGTATGATTGAGATGTTTGAATACATATAAAAAGTGTTTCGTGGAAAGATGCATCGAATGCATTAACTATTATCAAAATGCACACACACACATGCACACTGTGCAGTTGCATATATAATTGCTGCTTTTCAAGTAATTTATGAATTTGTAGGTACAGTATCAAAAGGTATTTTTTTCTCCTTTGATTTTATTTCTTTACCAAAATACTGTACAGTAGGGCCCCACTTTACAGCATTACGCTAATATGGCAATTTCAAATTGTGACCAAACCTGGCTATACAGCTTCCCGTCTTTCTAATATGGTGGCGCCCCACCCGGTTTGTTTATATTCTTTGTGAGCACATCTCTCTCTCATGTCTGGAAACTTTCCAAAATTTCAATTGTTTTAAAGTTATTGCATATTTTATATGTACTCTGATAATTATACTTGTACCTGTACCTAAATATACTTACACACTGTGCTGGCATGTAGGTACACATTAAAATCACTAAGAGTGTTCCTCTAGTCTTAACTCCATAGTAATAATACTAATAGTACATAATAATAATCACTCTTTGGCACATTAAATGTCTTATTTTACATTAATATAGACAGTCATTAATCCATCTATGATATTTTCTTCAAAATTATATAAGAAAGACATTACATAGCATATTTCACATAAATATGAGGTGTGGTAGCTGGTTGGAGGGAAAACATTACATATTTTCTGATACACGTTTTAGTGTATGAATCTGAGTTTGGCCCAGTCACTTCCCGTAACATTCCGCTTTTGTTTACAATTCTCGGCATGAATTCTTTTCATTACTTCTCCCTTTGTTTATGATGGCATCCAAAGGTAGTTGTTAGAAACTATTAAACTCGGTGAACAACATAGTCAACCCTCGGTTATCAGCCGTAATCTGTTCCAGAAGGTTGGCCTAAATCCGAATGGGAATCCCCCTCTTGGGTTACTTCCCTTCTTTGTCATTTACTGCCACAGTGCATTAATTACTAACCTTAAAATATTTGTAGTCTTAATGTAGGGCAAGAGATGACTAGTGTTTACACCTACCATCCGACTTACGACCGAGTTCGGTTTCGAGATACCGGTCGTAAGTCGAACTTTACTACTGAATATCAACAAAACATTTTTGTAATGACTTTATTTTATTGTTTTATTTTGGTATTTCATGTTTTACTTTACTTTTTATGTTGTTAGTACTGTATTTTATACTGTAAGGTTTAAGATAAATACTGTGTACAACACAAATAGTTGTTTATTTCCCAGAAATTTGGCATAAAAAACACGGTCGTAAGTCGAGTGGTCGTAAGTCAAGCAGGTCGTTAGTCGGATGGTAGGTGTATTTGTAGGAAGTCAGTGTAGGCAGCAGTAGATGTAAGTACATACACATATGTAACCCCCCTGGGCTACACTACACAGCCATATTATTGCCATGTTCACTGAGTTCAGTCATTTCTAACAACTACCTTCATGTGCCCAGGAGTGACTATTATTAAACATACATCACGTATAAACATTGCATGTTTTCATGTACTATGTAACATGTTTCTTTGGGCCCATGGTGGCTTATTTCGCAGTCGCACTCGCTAAACGACCACAAAAAACAATGGATTATAACGAAATGTGTGGTGGGTGGACATGTCCAATACGGCCGCTTTCCAAGTTGACGGCTGAAATTCAGGATAGAATTTTGGCCAGAAAAGTGGCTGATATCCAGACCAGCCGATATCCGAGGGTCCACTATATGTCGATGGTAATAATATGGCTCTGGACCAATTAAATAATGTATAGCTATGTAGGTAGGTGTAGCTATATAGCCAGGCAGAATACATAGCTAAATTTACCGGCTTCCTACAAATAAATACTACTCACCTTTCATCCTACATTAAGACTACACATATTTTAAGGTAAATAATGAGTGTACTGTATGTGTATTTTCTCTCTCTGGGCTCCTTTACATATTGTATATTAGGTTTGGGATGGGGAGCCAGGGCTACCTACACTAGACTTCCTACAAATAAGTACGTACTACTCGCTTCTCACCCTACATTAAGACTACAAATATTTTAAGGTAAGTAATGAATGTACTGTGTATGTATTTTACTTTTTATTGTTTTTTAATGCCTAGTTCTATTACTAACTTAATAAAAGTTAGTGTAAGCCTGTTGTCTGACATTTATATGCATTTATAAGAGGAAAAAATGGCGTTCTGCTTTCCGGCAATGTCTGCTTTCCATCAGTAGGCTGGAACCTAATCTGCCGTATAAGTGGGGCTCTACTGTACGTATAATTATTCCTGAGAATTTTTTAAAAAATCTTTAGGTTTTGAGAGCAATTCTGCAGATTATATAAGAACATAAAATTTACCGTTAATATTAAGGAGGGAGCTTGGCTCTTGTCTATAATTATTGCACCAGTTCTTTTAAAAATAAACCAGTGCAGGACCTTGGTATATACACTCAAATTACAAGTTTTAAAAAAATATTTACTTGAAATGTAAAAATAAAATTATTCTCAAAATCATATGGTAAAAATTTTTTAGGTAATGTATTTAAACTTACAGGATAAAGTTTTAATACCTCAGAGATGCCTGGATTTATCAAAGTATAAATACATTTTAAATCATGTAATTTGCATAATATTGCAGATTAAAAAAATTCCAGGAATAAATCTTTAAGTTCCTGGGAAACTGTTATTTCAAATATTCCTTGAGTGTCTTAACCCATCTTCTCATTGTTTATTAAAGTCATTAGATACACAACAAAGTTAAAACACTATTTAAAAATTCTTTTAATGTGTGTTGTTAAGCATGTTCATAGAAAATGGCATATTTAATTATTTTGCATTTTAATAACCGAGCAAACTAGCTTTGTGTATTGATGTACATACAGTACATCGATGTGTTGCCACTTATATACTATACAAGATTTAAAAAAAGAAGTTGATTATATGCCATACACCCTTCTTAAATACCATGTATATCATTCGGTACTAAAACAGCAGTAATTTTGCCATATATACAGTTATATTGTGAGTAAGAAGGCTTCTAATATAATTAACAGAGTTTGTTTGGTGCTTGTCTTCATGTTTGTGAGCAGTCTTTGTCCTACTGCTGTAATTGGAGTGCCTCTTTTTAAAGTTTATTCTTGTTCTATTAGTGTGTGTACAATTCAGTTGTTTTTTTCATCCTCCCTCTTTTTTTTTTTTTTTTTTTATATAGAGGTTTAAAAGACAGGAAGGCCAGAGGCTTGGGTAAATACCACCAGATTCATCATCTTTCTTCATTACAGCTCTGCTGAAGCATGAAATTATGCTTATCAAGTTTAGGGGGTTAAAATATACATTTGAAAGGATTTAGAGGAATTTTTGTTAAATTTGCATTATTCTAGTTTTCTATTTATTTTAATATCCAGTAAGTGTGGTTAACACCATTATCTTGTCATGGCTTTTATTAGTGTATTTTTTCCAGCACATTTTTTATAGTTACTGTATATGCATGTTTTTTTTTTTTTTTTTTTTCTAGAAATTTTACTAGTTAATACAGTTGCTTACTGGCTAGAATATGATGATGCATGAAGCTTTCTAGCTGTGCTAGCATCTAAAAAGTGGGCTGTCATTGACCCCCTTTTAAGATTCACAATTTGAAGTTATATAGAGTATACATAGAGTATATTATTTCTTTGAGAATTTTGAAGATTATCTTAAACTTTTTTAGAATTTTCAATTGTATACCATATTAGCAAGATTTGTTATAAATTAAAAAATTGTATTTAGTTATGAAAGGAAATTATTGGAGTTGTAGCACAAAGATTATATAACAGAGAGAAACATGTTTGCATGTTGCTTTTCTTGTACTGGTACAAATTAGTTGTGGCTGTGAACTTGGAGTATATATGATGTGTTAATACTATCTATTAATTACAGACAAGCTCAAGAATTGAAAGAGCGGACATCAGCTGATCAGGCAGCTGCCATAATGAAACCCCTGGGCGAAGTGAACCGACGGTGGGATGAGCTGCTCAAGGGCATTGTTGAAAGACAGCGCAACTTAGAATATGCTTTGCTTAAACTTGGACAATTCCAGCATGCTCTGAAAGAATTGATGATCTGGATTGAGCGCACTACAAAGACTGTTGATGATCTCAAGCCAGTATTTGGTGACCCACAAGTTATTGAAGTTGAGTTGGCAAAATTAAAGGTTACAATTAATGACATCCAGGCTCATCAGTCCAGTGTTGATACACTTAATGATGCTGGAAGGCAACTGATTGAAGCTGACAAAGGCTCTGAAGATGCTTCTAATACCCAAAAGAAACTTGCTGAACTAAGTAAAAAGTGGAGTGAACTACAGGATAAAGCAAATGGCAAACAGAATGATTTGGAAAATGCCCTGAGAGAAGCTCAGATATTCACAGCTGAAATTCAGGATCTTTTACTTTGGCTGGGCGATATAGATGCTGCTTTGTCAAGCTCTAAGCCAGTTGGAGGCCTTCCAGAAACTGCGAAGGAACAGCTTCTTCGCTTTATGGAGATATATGATGATTTGGAGGAAAACCGTTCCAAGGTAGAAGCTACTCTTCAGCAAGGCCAGGAATATCTGAAACGGTCTCGGGAAGGTGCTGCCACTAATCTTAACCATAGTCTCCGCACCTTAAAGCAGCGTTGGGAAAGTGTCATGAACCGTGCCAGTGATAAGAAGATAAAGTTGGAGATAGCTTTGAAAGAGGCTACAGAGTTCCATGAAGCCTTGCAAGCATTTGTTGATTGGCTCACTGAAGCAGAGAATTTATTAAATTCCCAGCAACCTGTGTCTCGTGTGCTGGACATCATTCTTATACAGATTGAAGAACATAATAGCTTTAAGAAAGATGTCACTGCACATAGAGAAGTGATGCTTAGTTTAGATAAAAAGGGAACCCATCTTAAATACTTTAGTCAAAAGCAAGATGTCATCCTTATTAAGAATCTCCTGGTTTCTGTGCAGCATCGATGGGAGAAGGTAGTATCCAAAGCGGCAGAGAGAACGCGTGCTCTTGACCTTGGATTTAAGGAAGCTAAAGACTTCCATGATAACTGGAATGAACTGGTCACTTGGCTTGATGATGCTGAAACACACTTGATGACTTAGCTGCAAATGTTGGAAATGATCCTGAAAAAATCAAAGCTCAGATTGCAAAGCACAAGGAATTCCAGAAGTCTCTTGGTGCCAAGCAGCCAGCCTATGATAGTACAATGAAACAGGGCCGTGGCCTGCAAAACAAGGCTCCAAAATCCGATGAAGAGACATTAAAGCAAATGATGACTGACTTGAAGAACAAATGGAACAGTGTTTGTCAGAAGAGTGTAGACCGCCAGAGGAAGCTGGAAGAAGCCCTTCTCTTTACTGGTCAGTTTAAGGATGCAACCCAAGCACTTCTGGATTGGCTCAAGAAGGTTGAGTTAGGCCTTGTAGATGATGGACCAGTTCACGGAGATCTTGATACTGTTATGGCACTAGTTGAGCAGCACAAGGCTTTCTGTATTGAACTCAAGAACCGTTCTGTACAAGTTCAGAGTGTGCATCGTACAGCAGATGAACTGTTAATCAAAGCTAGTGCTGAAGATGCTGTTACTATTCGTTCACAAATTTCAGAGCTAGTAAGCTCTTGGGAAAGGGTTGAGACAGCAACAGAAATTCGTACTAGACGTTTAGAAGAAGCATTACAAGCTGCTGAGCAGTTACATAAGGTTTGTTTACTTAGTCATTTTAGTGTTCTCACCTTTTTTTTTCTTTAACTCTTTCGGTGTTGTGCCTCCTGCTCGCAAACTTGCTCCCAGGGTCAAGGAATTAAAAAAAAAAAATTTTTTATTTTATCTTATGAAATATTAGAGGAGAATCTTTTACCAAATGTAATGAAACCACAAGTACGAAATTTGATGGAAAACTTACAGAATTATGCTCTTGCAAAAGTTAGCAGTCTTGGCGATATTTATGCATAGGCCCATTTACCTATTTCAACTACCCAGTAAAATGAACAGAAATTGGCAATTTGGCCCATTTCATACAAAATTCAATTGCCAACTCGAAAATAGGGTCCCTGGCACTAAGTAAACATTTCCAGGCCCCTCTTATATTACACTTACTTTTCATTTTGAATTTTTATTCACATAAAAAATAGAAAATTTACTTATATGCAGACTACTGCATTACTGTAATTAACTGGCCAGTTGGACATGTATTGAACAAGTGATGTCATTTGTGTACTTAGGAATATTGGCAAAAATCAAACATTTCCACTACTTTGAGCTCAGTTTCAAGCTACTTTCAGTCCTGAAATTAATCAAAATCATCTCTGTTTCTATCTCTTCATTTTATCAAATGAGATCAAGAAACTGAGAATATAACCAAAACCATGGTCACAGTTTTTTATTATGCACTGTGCTGCAGGATTTTTTATATGGTGCACACTTAATGCATAGACCCATTTTCTCCTATCTAGGCCCAAATTTATCACTCACAGCTTATGACTGAGCTGAGCTTATGACATACTATGGGACCGACACTGGCTTCAAAGCTGTGATCCAATGGTACCAACACTGAAAGGGTTAAAGTATCTAAAAATATTGTGAAAGTCCCAACTTAAGACAGTATGTGTGCCAGTAAAGATCCATGAGATGTTAAAAAAAATAAAATTGAATATTATATGTATTACCAGCCCATTCCTTGACCCTCTTACCAAACAAAATTGATTATTGTATCCTGTTTCAGGTTGTACACATGCTGCTTGATTGGTTGTCTGATGCTGAGATGAAACTGAGGTATGCTGGACCACTGCCAGATGGTGAAGAGGAGACTAGACAACAGATTGCTGAGCATGAAGCATTCTTATCTGAACTGAATCGGAAGGAAAAGGAAAAGGATGATACAATTGCTTTGGCTGAAGATATCCTTGCTAAAGCTCATCCTGATGGCGTTGCAACTATTAAACACTGGATCACAATTATCCAGTCTCGGTGGGAGGAAGTTATGGCATGGGCCAAGCAGAGAGAGACGAGATTGGCTGACCACCTTAGGAGTCTACGTGATCTTGCTGGACTTCTTGATGAACTTATGCGCTGGCTTCTTCAAGTAAGATGCAAAATTATTGCTTCCCTGTTGTTAATATTTTAAAGGTTTAAAAAAGGGAGTGAGAGTTAAAAATGTATACATAATGTCATATCTGGGTGCAATGAACTTTCTCATCACCCCTTAATATATCAGAACTGGACGATAATAAACTATGCACGATTAGGGTAACTAGTGACATGGTCCTCAGACAAATAGAGAAATTAAAGCTTAACAAATCCCCAGGCCCTGATGAACTGTTTGCAAGGGTTTTAAAGGAATGTAAAGAGGAACTTAGCATACCTTTGGCTAATCTTTTTAATATATCACTACAAACTGGCATAGTGCCAGACAAGTGGAAAATGGCAAGTGTAAACCTATTTACATGTAACAGGTCCTTAGCTTTGAACTATAGACCAATAAGCCTTACCTCCATAGAAAATTTATGGAATCAATAATTGCCGAGGCAGTTCATAACCATCTTGAAAGGCATAAATTGATTGATGAATCCGAGTACAGTTTTACGAAGGGGCGTTCCTGTCTTATGAATTTACTAAATTTCTTCACTAAGGTATTGGTATTGAACATGATACTGTGCATATGGACTTCAGTAAGGCTTTCAATAGAGTTTCACATCAGAGGCTATTGAGGAAATTATAGCACATGGACTAGGAGAATTTTTTTCCTGGATAGAGGCATGGTTGACAAATAGGCAGCAGAGAGTTTGCATAAATGGGGGAAAAATCAGAATGGGGGCACGTTACTAGCGGTGTTCCACAGGGGTCAGTGTTGGGCCCCTTATTTACAATTTACATAAACGACATAGATGAGGGATTAAATAGCAACATAGGCAAATTTGCTGTTGACACCAAAATAGGCTGTCCAGTTCATTCTAATGAGGACATCAGAGCACTCCAGGATGATTTGAATAGACTGATGCAGTGGTCGGAGAAGGGGCAGATGCAGTTTAATATAGACAAATGCAAAGTTCTAAATGCTGGACATAACCATGCCACATATAAACTAAATAATGTAGATCTTAATTTTACTGATTGCGAAAAAAATTTAGGCGTTCTGGTTGGCAGTAATCTAAAACTAAAACAACAGTGCATAAGTGCTCGCAATAAAGCTAACGGAATCCTTGGCTTTAAATCAAGAAGTATAAATAATAGAACTCTTCCACTCTCTATATCTTTGGTTAGGCATCATTTAGATTATGCTGCACAGTTCTGGTTGCCATTTTACAGAATGGATATAAATGCACTGGAAAACATAAAAAGGAGGATGACAAAGTTGATCCCATGTATCAGAAATCTTCCCTGTGAGAATAGACTGAGGGCCCTGAATCTGCACTTTTAGAAAGGTGTACAATTAGGGCAAATATGATTGAGGTGTATAAATGGAAAACAGGAATGAATAAAGGGGATGTAAAGAGCATGCTAAAAATATCTAGCCTAGACAGGACTTGCAGCAATGGCTTTAAGCTGGAAAATTTCAGATTCAGGAAGGATATAGGAAAGCACTGGTTTGGTAAGAGTTGTGGTTGAGTGGAACAAACTCCCAAGTACCGTCATAGAGGCTAAGACATTGTTTAGTTTTAAAAATAGGTTAGAGAAGTACATGAGTGGGTGTGGGCACATGCGAGTTTGATCTGACTAGCTTGTGCTACTAGGTCTGATGCCGTGTTCCTTCCTTAAGTGAACGTGACTGACCTGACTAGGTTAAGGCATTGCCTTAAGCCGGTAGGAGACTTGGACCTGCCTCACATGGGCCAGTAGGCCTGCTGCAGTGTTCCTTCTTTCTTATGTTCTTATCACCAACTTCACAGAAAAGAAAATGAATTTTCCTCTTCCACCCCTCAGTAGACCAATTAATCCAAGTACCATGCCAATCCGTAATCAGTACAATGAGTATTCTTTGATCTCATCATCGGTGAAATCAAAATTTTTAAGGCTGAAATATAAAGGTATTTTAAGATTTGCTTGTAATAAGCACTTTAGGAATTAAAAGGTGTAACTCAAAAAGTACTGCTCTGATTGAAATGAAATTTCATAGCTAAGTTAAACCAGTAGCATAGAAAGTGTACATCTATACATATCACTGGCCCCATAAAACTATTCACCTTACTAGAATTGATTCCTTCAGTTTCTAGAAAGATAGCACCTCCAGTGTTGCCATATGATCCCATGAGCCACTTTCTACCAATTACATACAGCTCATGCCATACTGCTTCACTAAGGCAGTATGGGTTAGCAGCCCAGTAGATTGATGGGCATTAAGGTGTACATTACTGGTGATTAGATTACGACTTGAATGTGTTATGTATCTTTTCCACCAGGTGTTAAATTTTGGAAGCATTAGTTTTAACAGTAATTGCAAGTCCGTAGTTTTCTTAAACACTTGGGGTTCGTTGGCAATTCTTTTAAAAAAAAGTCAACTTGTAAATATGTCTGCTTATAATTTATTCATTTATTAATATATCTATTTTTCCAGGCTGAAAGCAATTTAACAATCTTGGAAGCAGAACCCCTGCCTGATGACATCCCTGCAATTGAGGCTCTCATCACTGATCATAAAGAATTCATGGATGAAATGCAGAAGAAAGAGCCAGATGTGCTAAGCATTTGTAAGCCAACCAAACCTCGACCTTCACTTTCTCAGCAAGGCAAAAAGCGGTCAAGAGCATCACTAGGGTAAGTTGTCACACATTTCTTTCTAGTTAATGAGTGAAAGCTTTAAAAGTGCATAGTAAGGCAACAAATATATTCATGTTGTCACATTTAATTTAGTTGTGTAGGCTTGTAGATGTGAAGCAACTGGCATCATATTGGTGCATCTCTTGGTGAAAGCTTAGTTTTAGTTTTCAGTCTTCTTACGTAAAATTTGTTTGAGCATGGAAACTACTGAAGTTATTATAAGTTCAGCATATTATAATCAGGCAATGATAGCAAAATATTTTCTTTGGGTGAGCCTTTTATTAGGTTTTTGCTTCCTAATCCTTCTGATTGTTATACAGTGCATGATTGTATTTATGAATATGTTCTTCCAGATGGTTCATGATTCTAAGTACTGAAATAAGCATATTTTGGTAGGATTCATAGTTTTAAAATTTTTATGTTTTGCAGTAAATTATGTAAGTGCCTTTTAAAATGTTTGAGTATAGTAAAAAAAAAAAAAAAATTGGAACTTAAACACAAGCGAACAAGGTTACTAGACTTCTTATTATGGCACACCTTACATTAGATTTTCCACTGTGCATGAAATAATGCATAAACCTTTGCATAAAAGTTAATGAATCATTGTAATATAGGGTTTGATACTTTACAAAAGCATCTGTACATTTCTCTTGCCAGAGATTATTGGTATGTATCATGTAGCAGCAGGCTTTAAAAAACTTTTCATAATAGTTTTTATTCTTTTAAATAGAATCTTTTTGCCCTTGATGGCATGTTAGTTTTTAATTGTTCATTTCCTCGGACGAAAGTGCTTTGCATACCATACATAATTAGCTTTTACAGTGTTTGATAAGCTAGCATCAGTTTTAGTAATGCAGTAACTTTAAATATATTTGTTGAATAGATTGACCAATGTTCCCTTTACTAATTTTGAAAATAACTTAATTGTAGGATATCAAAGGCTTCATTTTAGAATTTTGTTGTACATTTTCATGAGTTATATGTTTTAGTCTGAAATTTGTTTTAGGTATTAACTTTGGAAATCTGATGTTATAAGTGAATGAAGAATGTTTATAAATTTACTTGTCTGAATAAATTATATCTTAATAATATTTCCATTTACTGGAAAAGCTATACAGCAAGTGCAAAACAGAATGTTCAGTTATATATTTTTAATAATTGGGAAAAATTAATTTCAGTAATTAACTTTCTGAACTTGTTTGTATCAGTACTTAGAAGTCACGTGTGTATTTATGGAATTATTTTCCAAATGCATATGTACAGTTCTACATTTCTAGTTTTGTGTAGTACTCAGCACTTAGGTTCTTTCAGTGTTGCTTCCTTTGCACATTGCATGCCTTCACAATAACTGTGTTACAGTCGTGAGAGTGTGAGCCCGGGAAGAGAATCTTCGCCAGAGTTTGATTATCCATCACGACGGTCCAGGTGAGAGCTAAAATTCAGGGTATAGGTTATTTGTCCATGATTCTGTATTCGGGTACATACTAATGCAAAGATTGTTTATATATGAAATATGAAGCCATTAAATTATAGATGTGAATTACCTGAAAGTAAGTCATTCAGAGACGGTCGTTCTAGTATAATGTGGTATTCCTGGTAGGGATAGCTTATTATTTTTGCATTGTTTGTGGTGGTAGTGGTTATATTTTTTACAGAGAATATATCTTGGAAATGTTTTCACAACAATTTTATGCACTTCATACTGTACAGTAAACTGTTATGTAGTGCTGTTTTTTACAGTTTATGTACTGATACCAAATTACTATATAGCATTTGTATTTTTTCAAAAGCATAGTTGAATAATGTCCTATTTAGGTCCCTCTTCATAAATTCTCATAAAAAGTGTAGAAGTGATACATTTTCAGAAAATGTCGTAGGTCAGCATTACAGATGTTCAGTAGCATTAGGTATAGCATTGACATCAATGAGGAAAAAAAAAAATCCTACCCTGTTAGATCAGATACTTAAATTCATTGATGCACTGCTGATTATTTATGGCTACATGCTGGTGTCTGTTTCTGAAAATACAGTGCTGGTATGTGTTCCCTCTGAGGCCATAGTAATTTAGCTTGAGTAGGAAAATATTGTGGTCAAAAATAGTATTAGTTTTTTTTAATCGGTAAAAAGTTCAATAGGATATTCATTTCTTTAACCCTTTCTGGGTCGGTATCATAATATTGCAACTTTGAAGCCAGGGTCGGCTCTGTAATGCTGCACCAAATTCTAGCGGCTTCCAATCTTGTGGGAGAAAGCTGGTAGGCCTACGTATGAGAGAATGGGTCTGCATGGTCAGTGTGCACAGTATAAAAAAAATCCTGTAGCATGCAGTGCATAATGAGAAAAAAATCTGACACATGTTTTTGGTGTAAAACAGCAACTTTGTGGTGTATTTTCATATTTTTTTTGGTTGTATTCTTGGTTTCCTTTGATAGAATGGAAGATGTGTTACAGAAATAGAGATGATTTTGGTTTACAGACTGAAAATAGCTTGAAATTGAGCTCAAAGTAGCAGAAATATTAGATTTTTGCCGATGTTCAAGAGTAGACAACTTGCGTCATGCGTCCAGTACACATCAACTAGCCGGTTGATATGCACTCGATAATGCACTGACATTATTTATACAATTATTACCATTGTGTAGTACTCTGAATAACAGTAAATCTTCTATATTTTGTGTGAGTAAAAATTTAAAATGAAAGGCAAGCATAATATAAGAGGGGCCTGGAGATGTTACTAATGAGCAGAGAAATGTTTTAGTGCCAGGAATGTCTATATTATTTATTCTGGACCCTATTTTGAAATTGGCCTTTCTTGAATTTTGCTGTGTTTATTGGCCAAATTAGTAATTTCTGATCATTTTATTGGGTAGTTGAAATAGGTAAATGGGCAGTTTCTTGTATTCAATTGATAGAATAAAGAGATTAGCTGAACAGCTATGAGTTGGGTCAACAGGAACAGTGGAATTGGCCCAGAATAAGGCTTAAAGTGGGTGAAATTGCTGATGTGTGCATATCGCTGAAACCGCTAATTTTGTGTTAACGTAATTCTGTAAATTTTCCATAGTTTTGCGCTTTTGGTTTCATTACCTTTGGAAAAAGATTCTCTATCATTTCATAAGAATTTTTTTTTTTTTTTAAATTCTTCGACACTGGGAGCAAGTTTATGAGCAGGGGTCTCAACCCTCAAAGGGTTAAAGTGCTAAATAACTGCGAAGTATTTTGAATATTGCATCATTTGTGCTTATTGTTTAGGTCTGTGCCAAGGAGTAAGGTGTACATGTACAGCTGCTTAGGCATTTCTTAAATATTTTTGAGAGTATTGGTAGGGTAAAAATGGTCTGTAATTGTTAACATTTGATGAATGTTACTGTTTGTGGGTGCATAATTTGATTTCTTGTTTCTATGTTGAATCAAGCTGGCAATTCATTGTGCTCTCTGAAGCTGTTAATGTTCAGCTTCTCTAGGTATTTTAAAGTGTCAAAGCTGTTAATTTTGCTAATACTCTACTAATTAGAATATTTGGTTTAGTATGTAGAAATTAAGTTTCTTGGGTATATTGTGTAAATATGGAGAAGATAGCTGTATTAAACATAGATTTTTTCTCAATGCTGCCATTAATACTAATTCAAAGGGTAGATGAGGAGGAGAAGGAACAAGGTGAAGAGTAAATGAGCAAGCAAAAGGAGGGAGATGGGTTGTAAAGAAGGGAGTAAATGAAAAGGAAAGGAAAGGTAGAAAGGAGGAGATAATTGTAAGTTCCTAATAACTCAAGATTGTTGTACTGTGAAGTTTCAGTATAAGAGACTTGGGATTCCTTTCTTGATTAATCAGATGATTTTGATCCACATTAGTCCTTTTCATTTTATATATGTCTTGGTGACTGAATGTGGTATATACTTAGTTTATGTATATTTGCAACTTGTCTAATGCATTCATGAAAATTTGATATTGGTGCATAAGGCATAATCTTAACATTAATGTGTTTTTCTCCCTTTTTTGTAGTCGTATCAGTCCAGATCGAGAATCTTCACCAGGGCCTAAATCTCGAAAGTCCAGGTAACAATGAGCATCTCCTTTTTTTTCACTTCCCCCTAATGTAAATTCGATCCTACTAACCTTTGTAGTATTTACACACATTTTACACTAAACTAACATTACTATTAATTTGTTTGCAGACTGTTCATGAAAACCCATCAGTTTTATAGTCTTTTAATCCTGTTGCTTAATGTATTATTTTTCAGGCTTATTGTACAAAGTGTCTGCAAAGTTGCAGGTAGTGCTGTACAAATTGCCAAGCAAAATGCTTAGTATTTGGATCTCATTAAGGCATGGTATAATAAATTATAAGTTTAGATTTCCCTAAATTGAAACAAATATTGAAATAGAATAGTGTTGGAAATATGAAGTGAAGTGGGAATGAGATGCATGAACGTGTAAGACATTTATTGAAGGGGTCTTTTCTTCTCTTCTCTTCTCTTCTCTTCTCTTCTCTTCTCTTCTCTTCTCTTCTCTTCTCTTCTCTTTTCTTTTCTCTTTCCTTTTTTCTTTTTTCTTTTTTCTTTTTCTTTTCTCTTTTCTTTTTTTCTTTTTTTTTCTTTTTTCTTTTTTCTTTCTTCTCTTTTCTTTTTTTCTTTTATCTTTTCTTTTTTTCTTTTATCTTTTTTTTTTCTTTTTTTATTTTCTTTTCTCTTTTCTTTTCTCTCTTTTCTCTTTTCTTTTTCTTTTTTCTTTTTTCTTCCAGTCTTAATACGGGGATAACTACAAATGGTATATAAACCATACCACTCTCTGATCGCGGGTTCTATCCCTGCCTGTGGTACGGTTTGTTTGCAATCGTGTCATTACGATTTCGTGAGTAATGGTATATACTGTATAAGAGAGAGAGATAATGTGCAAAACAGAAAGACAGGTAGCATTGTCAGAGATAAGTAGGTAGACACACTGTTTCTGTATTAGCATTGAGGAAGCCACCAGTGGTGAAAAGCCTCCTTTGATAAGTGCATTGATTGTGCACACATCTTATTCCCACAGTCTGTCAGTATAAATATACTTATACAATGTGAAGTAAAATATTGGATAATAGTATTAACAATGAAATTGCATTTTTATTGTATTCCATTCATTCCATTCAAAACTTTAGGACTCCCTTCCTTTTCCTGTTTTAAGTAATTTAGTAATGGTAGTTTGTTACAAGGGAAATCAAATTAAAATTTGAGAAATTTGAGTCTTTTGTTGAAAGGATTAATTATCATTGATGGTATTGTATTTTCTTGTGTTTCTAAACATTATCTGATATTGCCAAATTGGGTTAAAGATGGGCACAGAACAAAATAATACATGACATGAAAAACTCTAATGCCTTAACATGTCTGGGATGCCTGACATTTCTTGGCTAAATCATAATTTGTTACAAGAGGAAAAGCTTTATCTAATCCAGTTGTCTCCTTGCAATTTCATAGCATGATACAATATCATAACAGTATATTTTTCTTACAACAAAATATAAAACTGTTTTTGTATATACAGAATGCTGCTAATGGAAGATGAAATTTGAACTAAAATACAGTAATTGGAAATTTAGGTAATAGTTACTAACAGAACGATAGAATGTGCATATATTAATTTTCTTCCTGTTGCATGATACAGAAAAGTTAGTGTACCTAACATAAATCATTTGTATTGCAAAGATTGAACGTAATAATTTGCTTTCTTTAGCCGCTCATCACCAGCACGTGAGATCACCCCTACACGGGAGTATCCGCGACCATGGATGTATGGAGCAAGGTACACAAATATCCGTAGAGATAAAGCTTTTATACGTCTTTGTTTATATTAATGCATTTATATGGTCTTGACGTGTGTGACATTTACATACACTTTGACAGAACCAGTGTTATATTTGCTTTATTTTAAGTAAAACTTTAGTACAGGTGCACAACAAAACTTTCCTCATTTTTTCTTGCTAACAACTTATTGTAAATACAAACATTACCATTAGAACAACACCACCACGAGAGTCCTCACCTGGAGCTGATCGTGAAAGAGACTGGCCACTTACGCACTTGCGCTTTGCCACATCCACACCAACGCCTTCTGCTGGTGCTGCTGCAGCAGGCGGGAGGAAGAGCAGGTTAGCAGCGACAAGACAGCTGCCAAACCTCTATATATATCTTTTATGTTAACAATTGCTATTTTACTGGCTAATGTTAAAGCTAATGCCTCGCCCTATTCTAAGCACTTTTCACACGAGACTTCTCAAGATTTATCAACTGCATAATCCAGTATGTAGCAATAAAATTTTATGAAGTGCTTTACATTTCTCAACATAACATACACACTAATTAGTTACCAACTAACACTCTTGACTTATCTTTCATCAGATTATACTTTCCATATTCAGATTCTTGTTCTCATACAGTACTTCATTTTCGCTTCGCACGACTTGTGTACAGTAAACTCCCGATTAGAGTAGGGGTTATTTTTCTGAAAATCAGTGTCTGCCTATGTTCTGATTACCTCAGATTTGTCAGACATTTTATAAAGTCTGTTACATAAAACTATGTTCTTACATTCTGTAAGTCATTGCTTGAAACAAGTGAAATATGTAGGGAAGGTTAATGTGGGCCTTCTGAGCAGAGTTGGATGTAGCAAAGTTTGTCTGACATACACTTGGAATATGTATGAGGCAGTATCATCTTTCTTCTTTAAGTTTATAAGGCCACACACAATTTACCATTTAGGACTATCAACATGTAAACATGGGTAAACGTAGTTTATTTTAACAAATAGTACCACACATACAAACATGCCACAACCTATGCCAAACAAACATATATTGAATATGACTGCAGTTGAGAAATTAATAATCAGGAAAAATGAAGGTTCTCTGTAATAAAATGGTGTCAGGCTGTCTGGGAGAAGTGGATAGGAGCTATAACTGTGGCTCCAAGGATTATTGTGAGAAGGAAGATTTCTTCTTGCTACTGACGCTTCAGTACGTAGTCTGTCTGAACAACTTCTGTTTTGTATGATATATGCATGAGAGGCCTATAATATATTTAGTGGAAGAGAAAGTAATACTAGAGATCAGTAGGTAAACAAATTTCCTTCACCTTCTCTCTCAGAATATTACTGATATATTGATACAGGCAACATTTGGCAGGAGACTTGGTCATACAACTTTTCTTGTATTACCCAGTTAACAATACCAGTACTTTGCCTTGCATGTCACATTGAGGATTAATTACATTGTGATGTTTGGGTAGTGAGTGTGTCATTGTAGCCTCAGTGAAAATGTTTTTACCTCTTCTAAACACAAAGTTTAATCACTTACTCACTCTTTATCAGTTGCCAACTTATTCAACAATTATAGATGTACAATGAGATACATCAGTGATAAAGGCTTAGGTACATATAATTATTAATTTTTATATTATTATCACACTGGCAGATTCCCACCAAGGCAGGGTGGCCCAAGAAAGAAAAACTTTCACCATCATTCACTCCATCACTGTCTTGCCAGAAGGGTGCTTTACACTACAGTTTTTAAACTGCAACATTAACACCCCTCCTTCAGAGCGCAGGCACTGTACTTCCCATCTCCAGGACTCAAGTCCGGCCTGCCGGTTTCCCTGAACCCCTTCATAAATGTTACTTTGCTCACACTCCAACAGCACGTCAAGTATTAAAAACCATTTGTCTCCATTCACTCCTATCAAACACGCTCACGCATGCCTGCTGGAAGTCCAAGCCCCTCGCACACAAAACCTCCTTTACCCCCTCCCTCCAACCTTTCCTAGGCCGACCCCTACCCGGCTTTCCTTCCACTACAGACTGATACACTCTTGAAGTCACTCTGTTTCACTCCATTCTCTCTACATGTCCGAACCACCTCAACAACCCTTCCTCAGCCCTCTGGACAACAGTTTTGGTAATCCCGCACCTCCTCCTAACTTCCAAACTACGAATTCTCTGTATTATATTCACACCACACATTGCCCTCAGACATGACATCTCCACTGCCTCCAGCCTTCTCCTCGCTGCAACATTCATCACCCATGCTTCACACCCATATAAGAGCGTTGGTAAAACTATACTCTCATACATTCCCCTCTTTGCCTCCAAGGACAAAGTTCTTTGTCTCCAGAGACTCCTAAGTGCACCACTCACCCTTTTCCCCTCATCAATTCTATGATTCGCCTCATCTTTCATAGACCCATCCGCTGACACGTCCACTCCCAAATATCTGAATACATTCACCTCCTCCATACTCTCTCCCTCCAATCTGATATCCAATCTTTCATCATCTAATCTTTTTGTTATCCTCATAACCTTACTCTTTCCTGTATTCACTTTTAATTTTCTTCTTTTGCACACCCTACCAAATTCATCCACCAATCTCTGCAACTTCTCTTCAGAATCTCCCAAGAGCACAGCGTCATCAGCAAAGAGCAACTGTGACAACTCCCACTTTGTGTGTGATTCTTTATCTTTTAACTCCATGCCTTTTGCCAAGACCCTCGCATTTACTTCTCTTACAACCCCATCTATAAATTTTATTAAACAACCACGGTGACATCACACATCCTTGTCTAAGGCCTACTTTTACTGGGATATAATTTCCCTCTTTCCTACATACTCTAACTTGAGCCTCACTATCCTCGTAAAAACTCTTCACTGCTTTCAGTAACCTACACCATACACCTGCAACATCTGCCACATTGCCCCCCTATCCACCCTGTCATATGCCTTTTCCAAATCCATAAATGCCACAAAGACCTCTTTAGCCTTATCTAAATACTGTTCACTTATATGCTTCACTGTAAACACCTGGTCCACACACCCCCTACCTTTCCTAAAGCCTCCTTGTTCATCTGCTAGCCTATTCTCCGTCTTACTCTTAATTCTTTCAATAATAACTCTACCATACACTTTACCAGGTATACTCAACAGAATTATTAACCTTCAGGTATAATAATCTGAATAGTTTTCTTATACTGACTGTATTATCTTCAAACATTTTATGCTTTTTTATATATATTTTGAGGCACTTTTAAATGTCAATGAAGAAAGGGAAGCCATAATTTCATGCACTGACCAGGGAGGTATACCATCTTTTAGGAGTGAAGAAGAACAGGATATGAGTGTGGGGGAGGTACATGAGGCATTACGTAGAATGAAAGGGGGTAAAGCAGCTGGAACTGACGGAATCATGACAGAAATGTTAAAAGCAGGGGGAGATAGTGTTGGAGTGGTTGGTATTTTTGTTTAATAAATGTATGAAAGAGGGGAAGGTACCTAGGGATTGGCAGAGAGCATGTATAGTCCCTTAATATAAAGGGAAGGGGGACAAATGAGATTGTAAAAATTATAGAGGAATAAGTTTACTGAGTATACCAGGAAAAGTGTACAGTAGGGTTATAATTGAAAGAATTAGAGGTAAAACAGAATGTAGGATTGCAGATCAGCAAGGAGGTTTCAGAGTGGGTAGGGGGTGTGTAATCAAGTGTTTACATTGAAGCATATATGTGAACAGTATTTAGATAAAGGTAGGGAAGTTTTTATTGCATTTATGGATTTAGAAAAGGCATGTGATAGTGGATAGGGGAGTAATGTGGCAATGTTGTAAGTACAGGAGGGCCCCGCTTTACGGCGTTCCGCTTTACGGCGTTCCGCTAATACGGACATTTCAAATTATGACCAAAACTCACTATACGGCTCCCCCCACCTGACTTTCTAATACGGTCACCGTGCCCCACCCTGTTTGTTTACATTCTCCATGAGCTCAGTAAGCACTAAGTCTCTCCATTTTGTCTGGAAACTCCAAAATTTCAAATGTTTTTAAAAGTTATTTCATATTTTATATATACTCTGATAATTATACTTATGTATACCTGTACCTAAATAAACTTACATACATCAAGTCATTTAAATGTCGTATATTACGTTAATATACACATTTTCATTAATCCATCCATGATATTTTTTTCAAAATTATATAATAAACACGATGCATAACATATAAATAGATAAATACACCCCACAGTAGAATAAATAAACATAAATGTGAGCTGTGTAGCAGACGACTTCACAAGTGGTGATAATAACAATACTGAGTCTCATTAAATGTCGTATATTACGGTAATATACACATTTTCATTAATCCAGCCATGATATTTTTTCAAAATTATATAATAAACACTATACATAACATATAAATAAGATAAATACACCCCACAGTAGAATAAATAAACATAAATGTGATCTCTGGTAGCAGACGACTTCCACAAGTGACGCCATAATAACAATAGTCACGGAGTCTCATTAAATGTCGTATATTACGGTAATATACACATTTTCATTAATCCAGCCATGATATTTTTTTCAAAATTATATAATAAACACGATACATAACATAAAAAGATGATAAATACACCCCACAATAGAATAAATAACATAAATATAAGATGTGGGAGCCTGGTTTGTTTACTCTGTGCCTGGCCTGTCACCTCTATGTATTCATTCTTTCTCTCTCTCATTTATTCGTTTTATCTCATTTACTTACTCCTGACCCTACATTAAGACTACAAATATTTTAAGGTAAGTAATGAGTGAACTGTATATACATTTTATCGCTCTGGGATGCTTAAATATCATAGAATAGTATGTGTGGGTGGGGTGGCCTGGTGAAATAGCCTGCCTATTACAATACATACCACACTTGATTTCTTACAATAAATACTACTTGTCTCACCCTAGATTAAGACTATAAATATTTTAAGGTAAGTAATGAGTGCACTATGTGTGTATTGTACCTTTTTATTGTTTTTTGATGCCTGGTTCTATTGCTAACTTAATATATGTTAGTGTAAACTTGTTATCTAGTGTTTGTATGCATTTATAAGTGGAAAAAAAGGGTGTTCCACTTTACGGCGATTTCCGCTTTACGGCGCTAGCCTGGAACCTAACCCGCCGTATAAGTGGGGCCTTCCTGTATATGGAATAGGTGGTAAGTTATTACTAAATGCTGTAAAGAGTTTTTATGGGGATAGTGAGGCTCAGGTTAGGGTGTGTAGAAGAGAGGGAGACTACTACCCGGTAAAAGTAGGTCTTAGACAGGAATGTGTAATGTCACCATGGTTTTTTAGTATATTTATATATGGGGTTGTAAAAGAAGTAAATGCTAGGGTGTTCGGGAGAGGGGTGGGATTAAATTATGGGGAATCAAATACAAAATGGGAATTGACACAGTTGCTTTATGCTGATGATGCTGTGCTTATGGGAGATTATAAACAAAAATTGCAAAGGTTAGTAGATGAGTTTGGGAGTGTGTGTAAAGGTAGAAAGTTGAAAGTGAACATAGAAAAGAGTAGGTGATGAGGGTATCAAATGATTTAGATAAAGAAAAATTGGATATCATATTGGGGAGGAGGAGTATGGAAGAAGTGAATGTTTTCAGATACTTGGGAGTTGATGTGTCGGCGGATGGATTTATGAAGGATGAGGTTAATCATAGAATAGATGAGGGAAAAAAGGTGAGTGGTGCATTGAGGTATATGTAGAGACAAAAAATGTTATCTATGGAGGCAAAGAAGGGAATGTATGAAAGAAAAGTAGTACCAACACTCGTATATGGGTGTGAAGCTTGGGTTGTGAATGCAGCAGCGAGGAGGCGGTTGGAGGCAGTGGAGGTGTCCTGTCTAAGAGCAATGTGTGGTGTCAATATTATGCAGAAAATTCGGAGTGTGGAAATTAGGAGGAGGAGTGGAGTTAATAAAAGTATTAAAGGGCTGAAGAGGGGTTGTTGAGGTGGTTTGGTCATTTAGAGAGAATAGATCAAAGTAGAATGACATAGAGAGCATTTAAATCTGTAGAGGAAGGAAGGCGGGGTAGGGGTCGCTCTCGAAAAGGTTGGAAGGAAGGGGTAAGGGAGGTTTTGTGGGCAAGGGGCTTGGACTTCCAGCAGGCATGCGTGAGCCTGCTCGATAGGAGTGAATGGAGACGAATGATATTTGGGACCTGACGATCTGTTGGAGTGTGAAGAGGGTAGTACAGTGGACCCCCGCTTAACGATCACCTCCCAATGCGACCAATTATGTAAGTGTATTTATGTAAGTGCGTTTGTACGTGTATGTTTGGGGGTCTGAAATGGACTAATCTACTTCACAATATTCCTTATGGGAACAAATTCGGTCAGTACTGGCACCTGAACATACGTCTGGAATGAAAAAATATCGTTAACCGGGGGTCCACTGTACTTAGTGAAGGGGTTCAGGGAAACCGGTTATTTTTATATAGCCGGACTTGAGTCCTGGAAATGGGAAGTACAATGCCTGCACTCTAAAGGAGAGGTTTCGGGATATTAGCAGTTTGGAGGGATATGCTGTGTATCTTTATACGTATATGCTTCTAAACTGTTGTGTTCTGAGCACCTCTGCGAAAACAGTGATTGTGTGAGTGAGGCAAAAGTGTTGAATAATGATGAAAGTATTTTTTGGGGGGGATTTTCTTTCTTTTTGGGTCACCCTGCCTCGGTGGGAGACGGCCGATTTGTTAAAAAAAAAAAAAAAAAAAATTATATACGTATCAAGTTTTGGAAAACATTAAGGTGACTAACACTGTCTGGTGGACATGACTTGCTCATCAAGAGTGGCAGCAGAGAGAAGGGCATCTCTCCTGGCCTGCTGAGTGCATTACTAAGTTTTCTCGATTTACAGCAGCTTACGTCTAGTGTTTCTTCCACCGATTCTTTTTGGTTTTGTTTTCAATATAATTAAGACAAAATAATACTGTACAGTTTCACTGTAATCGAGGGTTTACTGTAAATTTAACTGTTAGAGTATGATTAATGAATTTACTATAGATACCCTATGCTTTCTCTTAGTATACACAACAGTAGTGGATAAGTCTAGCTAGTAATTGACAAGGTATCCTTGATAATCTAGGTACTCTTATTAGAGAAATAGTTTCTTTATTAGCAACAGTAATATTAAAATACTTTCTCAGAGCTTACACAAAAATAGTAGTATTAATGCACCATATTATGTGCAATATTCTGTTGTTTTCATTAATATTTTTTCTCCACCTTTCAGCTCTTGCCAGACTGGCGTTTCTCACTAACCGGCAGCTTCTTTTTTATACATTTTTTTTGTCTATATGTGATATGATATTTTTTTAAAAGGCTGCATTCTTCTTAGCTCTGCTGCCGAAGAAAAAAATGGCATGAACAGAATGACTTGTTTTGGATGTGAACAAATTATTATACGTATATATACTGCACGTATATTTTCATAAGGATCTTATCCATTCCATAGAGTTTTCTAGCATGGAGATATCCAATTCATACGTTGAAAACCAAGGGATGTTTTCAGATAAAGCCAGAATATTACAATATTTTGTACCTTTAACCAACAGCAAAGTTAGCGTGCGAGAGGAACCTCAAATCAAGAATCCCCAGGCTCGTGCATTATGGGAAAAATGGCAGCACGTTGGCTTCATGGCATGGGAACGTATGCGACGTCTCCATGACAAGCTCAGCTACCTCCATGAACTTGAGAAGCTTAAGAACTTCTCTTGGGAAGAATGGCGAAAAAGGGTATGACATGACTAATATTTGGTTTAAGAATTCATGTACAATGCTGGCTTTAATTCACTGCCCAATAATTTTTGTAAAAGTAATAATCTTTATTTTTAATATAGTAATTAACCTAGTGTTTATGAATATTTTAAACTAAGTATATAAATTTTTCTTCCCAATTAAGTTCATGAAATTCATGAATCACAAAAAATCAAGAGTGACTGACCTATTCCGTAAGATGGACTCTGACAATGATGGAGCTGTTCCTCGTGAGGACTTCATTGATGGTATCCTTAAGACTAGTAAGTACTTTATATTGATGGTATCCTTAAGATCAAGTGTTTACATTGAAGCATATATGTGAATAGTATTTAGATAAAGGTAGGGATTTAGAAAAGGCATATGATAGTGGATAGGGGAGCAATATGGCAAACGTTGCAAGTACACATATGGAATAGGTGGTAAGTTACTAAATGCTGTAAAGAGTTTTTATGAGGATAGTGAGGCTCAGGTTAGGGTGTGTAAAAGAGAGGGAGACTACTTCCCAGTAAAAGTAGGTCTTAGGGATGTGTAATGTCACCATGGTTGTTTAATATATTTATAGATGGGGTTGTAAAAGAAGTAAATGCTAGGGTGTTCGGGAGAGGGGTGGGATTAAATTATGGGGAATCAAATACAATATGGGAAGTGACAGTTACTTTTTGCTGATGATTCTGTTCTTATGGAAGATTCTAAAGAAAAATTGCGAAGGTTAGTGGACGAATTTTGGAGTGTGTGTAAAGGTAGAAAGTTGAAAGTGAACATAGAAAAGAGTAAGGTGATGAGGGTATCAAATGATTTAAATAAAGAAAAATTGGATATCAGATTGAGGAGGAGGAGTATGGAAGAAGTGAATGCTTTCAGATATTTGGGAGTTGATGTGTCAGCGGATGGATTTATGAAGGATGAGGCTAATCATAGAATTGACGAAGGAAAAATGGTGAGTGGTGCATTGAGGTATATGTGGAGACAAAAAATGTTATCTATGGAGGCAAAGAAGGGAATGTATGGAAGTAGAGTAGTACCAACACTCTTTTATGGGTGTGAAGCTTGGGTTGTAAATGCAGCAGCGAGGAGGCAGTTGAAGGCAGTGAAGATGTCCTGTCTTAGGGCAATGTGTGGTGTAAATATTATGCAGAAAATTTGGAGTGTGAAAATTAGGAGAAGGAGTGGGGTTAATGAAAGTATTAGAGGGCTGAAGAGGGGTTGTTGAGGTGGTTTGTTCATTTAGAGAGTATGGATCAAAGTAGAATGACATGGAGAGCATATAAATCTGTAGGTGAAGGAAGGCTGGGTAGGGGTCATCCTCGAGAAGGTTGGAGGGAGAGGGAAAAGGAGGTTTTGTGGGCAAGGGGCTTGGACTTCCAGCAATCGTGTGTGATCGTGTTAGATAGGAGTGAATGGAGACGAATGGTATTTGGGGCCTGACGAACTGTTGGAGTGTGAGCAGGGTAATATTTAGTGAAGGGATTCAGGGAAACTGGTTATTTTATATAGCCGACTTGAGTCCTGGAAATGGGAAGTACAATGCCTGCACTTTAAAGGAGGAGTTTGGGATATTGGCAGTTTGGAGGGATATGTTGTGTATCTTTATACATATATACTTCTAAACTGTTGTATTCTGAGCACCTCTGCAAAAACAGTGATTATGTGTGAGTGAGGTGAAAGTGTTGAATGATGATGAAAGTATTTTCTTTTTGGGGATTTTCTTTCTTTTTGGGTCACCTGGCCTCGATGGGAGAAGGCCGACTTGTTAAGGAATTTTTTTTTTTTTTTTTTTTAGATCACTACTACCATCATCACCACTCCTACCACCATCACTATCACTACTACCACCATCACTATCACTACTACCACCATCACTATCACTACTACCATCATCACTATCACTACTACCACCATCACAATCACTACTACCACCATATCTTATAATTACAGTGGTCCCTCGTTTATCGTTGTTAATCCGTTCCTGGAAGTGCGACGATTTTCGAATCAATTTTCCCCATAAGAAATAATATAATTACAATTAGTGTGTTCCTGACACCCAGAAGTATTAAAACAAAAAATTATTTTACATGAAATATAGATGTAGTACATAAACAATACAATGGGATATGATGAATGAAACATTAACGGCATAACGCTTACCTTTATTGGTGATTCTTCTTAGTGTATTGAAGACTGGAGGAGGAGAGAAATTGAATTAGTTACTGTTTGGAAGGGGAATCCCCTTCCATCAACACCTCAGGTACCAAGTCCTTTTCTGGGGTTACATACTTATCTGTTTCTTAATGCTACTAGAACCAGCTTGAGTCACTGGTGTCCTTTCTTCTTCTTTCAACACACCGGCCGCATCCCACCGAGGCGGGGTGGTCCAAAAGAAAAAACGAAAGTTTCTCCTTTTACATTTAGTAATATATACAGGAGAAGAGGTTACTAGCCCCTTGCTCCTGGCATTTTAGTCGCCTCTTACAACACGCATGGCTTATGGAGGAAGAATTCTGTTCCACTTCCCCATGGAGGTAAGGAAATAAACAACAAGAACAAGAACTAGAAAGAAAATAGAAGAAAACCTGAGGGGTGTGTATATATATGCTTGTACATGTATGTGTAGTGTGACCTAAGTGTAAGTAGAAGTAGCAAGACGTACCTGAAATCTTGCACGTGTATGAGACAGAATAAAAAGATGCCGGCAATCCTACCATTGTGTAAAACAATTACAGGCTTCCGTTTTACACTCACTTGGCAGGACGGTAGTACCTCCCTGGGCGGTTGCTGTCTACCAACCTACTACCTAGGACTGGAGTCCTGTCTCGCAAAAAAAGCGTCCAGAGAGCTCTGTTTCTGGCGTCTCTTTAAAACTTCCCTAAAATGGGCCAAGATTCTGTCACTGTACAAGTTGCCGATATGGCTTGCAACATCCTTCTCAGGGTGATGTTTCTCCATAAATCTTTCCATCCTACCCCACATTTCAAAAATCTCCTTAATTTCTGAAGAAGACACCTTCTCCCATCTCTCTTCCCCCTCCTCTGCAGGAAGATTCTGAGCTGCGATCTGTTGCTGTTCATGCTGAAGCTCTTGCAGCTCCTCAGTGGTTAGCTCTTCGTTGTGGTCCTCCACCAACTCTTCCACATCCTCCAAACTCACATATAACCCTATGGAATTCCCCAATGCCACAATAGATTTTACAACTGACATAGGCTCATCAGGGTCAGCCACAAACCCTTCAAAATCCCTCTTGTGGACACAATCTGGCCATAATTTTCTCCAAGCAACAACAGCTTCCTTGATTTCCTTTTTCTTTGCCACGATGGAAGATATGGTTGTATGGGGTTTGTTATACATCCTGGCCAGTTCGGCCACACGTACGCCACTTTCATATTGTTCAGTGATGTTTTTCTTAAATTCAATCGTATTTCTCACCTTTACCAAAAGCTTGGCACTAGGAGCTTTCTTTGGAGCCATGGTAGCTTATTTAGCACTTGCAAGCACTAAAATGAATGGAATACTATGAAATATTTTGTATGAACAAGTGAGTGGACCATCGCTCACTGGTAAACAATGGCACACTGGCTGGGAAGGGAGGCCGAGGTGGCTCAGAGCCCTGAGTATGCATCCAGGACGAACGACAATTAGCGAGTCAACCGATCATTTGCGAGCCAATGTTTGCACGAAAATAACATGACGATTTCCTAAAAGGACGACTGTCGAGCCCGACGATTATCGAGGGACCACTGTATTTGTCCTTTTTCTCAAAATCTTCCTTCACCTGGACTTTTATTTGTCTTTCTTCTATTGTGATGGTGAAGCAGTTTTGTTTCAGTTTGGTCTTTTGCTGTTATGTTATTCTTAAATTTTCACTTGGCCTCTGTCCTCGCCCTGCACAATAGTTTCTGGCTAATCTACTAGCTTCTTTGTTTTCGTCTGTTCTTCTTTTTCTATGGTGTTTTCACTATGCTTCTCTATTTTGCCTCTCTACTTCTCTGGTTGAACCAAGGACTCTGCTATTTTCCCTTCTGGGTATAAAGTTCTCTCCTGCCTCCCAGTGCTTACTTGTTTGGTACTTCAACTTCTCATCTGCTGATTTTGCTTCTAGATCTCTTTTCCATGGTACAACATTCAGAAATTCTCTCATCCCATTAAAGTTCTCTTCTAAAATTTGGCTTTTCTTAAATTCTGCCTGCTATTCTTCCCTGTACTTCAGGTTCCACAAGATACGTGAAGCTTGGTACCATATGGTCGCTGGTGCTCAGGGGGCTTGTATGTTATATTACACCTGAGTCAGATGTACTTGCAGTAAATACTAGATCCGCTCTTGCTGTCTCATCTTTCTTGTTGTGTCCTTAACATGCTGACACAGTTTGCTCTGCCTCCATCAGTTTAGCCCTCCATGTTGATCCAAGTTCTTCCAATATATGTGGTTGAAATCATTCATGACTAGTAATTTTGTTTTAACCCCATGTGTACTCTTAACTGCTTCTGCTATGGTGTCAGCCATTGCTTTGCTATTTTTATATTCCTGCTTTTGTGTTGTTTTTTATCTGTTATGCATGTTTTTGTTTGTTAAACTGTGTATTTATAATCTTGCAGAGTTCCCTACCAGTCGTTTGGAAATGGGCACTGTAGCAGACATATTTGATCGCAACCAAGATGGGTATATTGATTACCAAGAATTTATAGCTGCACTTCGGCCGGACTGGGAGCGTAAGGGCCCTCTGACAGATGCCGAGAGGATTGATGACGAAGTACAGAAACAAGTTTCCAAGTGTACTTGTCGACAGAAGTTCCGAGTTCACCAAGTGGGCGAGGGCAAGTACAGGGTGTGTATCTCTCTAAGCTAGTAAAATTATGGTGGGGGATGTGTTTAAAGTACAGTATAAATAAACTATGCTTTGACATTCGTGTAATTACAGATTAATAACTGCACACATGTACACATAGTTTCTTAACCTAAGTGCACAAAACACAAAATCACATCAGCGCAGGCAAAGCTTGGAAATGTAAGGGTGGCAGTCAGGAACCTGGATAATATAAAGTTGGTAGAATTACCGACAATATGTTAAGTAATAGGACACAAGTGCAACTAATGTGACATATTATTGTGGCAACGTTTCGCTATCCAGGAGCTTTGTCAAGCCGTTGACAAAGCTTCTGGAGAACGAAACGTTGCCACAATAAAATGTCACAGTAGTTGCGCTTGTGTCCTTTTACTTTAACCCCTTGACTGTCGCAACCCCCAATCCTGAGGTGTCTCCTGGTGTCGCAAAATTTAAAAAAAAAAAAAAAAAAAAAAAAAAATTATGAAATGATAGAGAATCTTTTCCCGATTGTAATGACACCAAAAAAAACGAAATTTGATAGAAAACTGACGGAATTACGCTCTCGCGAAGTTAGCGACCTCGGCGATATTTACAAATCGGCAATTTTGCCCACTTTAAGTCCTATTTTTGGCTAATTCCATTGTTCCAGTCGACCAAACTCGTAGCTTTTTCTTTAGAACTCCTTTTTTGCTATCGAATGAGTTCCAGAAACTGCCCATTTACCAATTTCAACTACCCAATAAAGTGGTCAGAAATTGGCAATTTGGCCCATTTCATGAAAATTAAAAAATATGACAATTTCAAAATAAGGCCCAGAATGGACAATGCAGACCTTCCTGGCTCTAAAATAACATTTTCTTTGTTCATCAGTCATGTCTCCAGGCCCCTCTGATATTACTCTTGCTTTCTATTTTGAATTTTTATTCAAACAAAAAATAGATTTACTATTATGCAGACTCCTGCAATACTGTAATAATTGTGTAAATAACATCAACCCATTCATGACTGCATATTAGAATGGCTAGTTGGACATTTATTGGACAATGTCATCATTTGTTTACTTTTGAACATCGGCAAAAATCAAACATTTCCCCTACTTTGAGCTCCATTTCCAGGTTCTTTTTATAGTAAAATCAATCAAAATCACCTCTATTTCTATAATATGTTTTCCATTCTATCAAATGAGACCAAGAAAACGAGAATACAACCATACATACTATATGAAAATAGATCACAAAGTCGGCATTTTAATTAAAAAAAACGGTCTGAGTTTTTTTTTCTCATTATGCACTGCGTGCTCCAGGATTTTTTTTATATGGTGCACACTGACCACACAGACCCATTCTCTCACATGTGGGCCTACCAGCTTTCTCCTTCTTGATTTGAAGCCGCTAGAATTTGTGTGTATATACGTCAAACACGGTACCTCGTAAGATGTATATATGCGGCCATGACAGTCAAAGGGTTAAAACCTGGATGAAACGGTTCAAAATGCACTTCACCTGAGCAGGCATTACCAGTGTGGTGTACTTGCCTTGTATAATACTATGAGGTATAGATAGGATAGACAATGATACCTTTACCAAAATGCAACAAAAATGAGAGGGCATGGTTGGAAATTACACATAAGAACATAAGAATGGAGGAACACTGCAGAAGGTCTGCTGACTCATACAAAGCCAGGTCCTTATCAAAACCACCCCTACCCAAAGTTACCCAAGAATTTACTCCCATACCCAGGACACCAATCAAACCCAATCATCCAAATGATAAACTGATATCAGGAAACATTTTATCGTGTGCATGGTAAAAAAGCAAAATGGGCTGAGCGTTAACACTGGAAGACTCCTTACAAGTTCAAATAAATATGAAAGTTAATTCACATCAGTCAGTTGAAAGTTAAATAGTGAGACCAAGAAGTGAAGTTCATCCCCTGCAGAATTACAAATTCATTAAAAGCATAGCTCTGCTTCTGTAGTTGCAGATAAGTAATTAGGTGTAATTAATCCTTGTGTATGCATTACCAATGTTGGACTCCCCTTGAATAGAGCAAGACAGAACTAGAGAAAGTGGCAGTTACAGAAATGCAGAAAGGAAGGGAAATGGTAATCATATAAAGATATTGAAGACAAAGCAGATATTTACAGGCTCATCAGGAAAGGAGTTAAAGTATGGAGACACAAGTGGAAGTTACACGCTCACTCTTTGGGTGTTAGTTTACTCACAGATCTCCACATTTCCACTCGTATTTGCTTCCCACGACTTTTCCCTCACTCTTGGAAATGTTTGAGTGCTCTGAAAATATCACTGTCTTCATTACTCACTCATGGAAATGGGCTTTAGTTACTCTTCATTGGGATGTATGATCAAAGTGCAGTACTGTGTTTTAATACTTTCAGGGTCGGTCTCATAGTTCTACTTCATTGAAGCCAGGGTTGGTACTGTAGTTCTATGCCATGAGCTTATCTCACTCAGATAAGCTGAGTGGTAAATTTGGGTCTAGATGTGAGAGAATGGGTCTGTGTGGTAAGTGTGCACCATATAAGAAAAAATCCTGCAGCAAGTAGTGCATAATGGTGAAAAAACTGCAGCTGTGTTTTTGGTTTAAATCGGTGACTTTGTGGTGTATTTTCGTATGATTTTGATGGTTGTATTCTTGGTTTCTTGGTCTTGCTTGATAGAATGGAAACTATATTACAGAAGTAAAAATGATTTTGATTGGTTTCGGGATTGAAAGTAACTTGAAATTGAGCTCAAAGTAGCGAAATGTACAATTTTTGCTCATATTCATATTGCAGAGTACACAAATCACATCACTCATCCAATATGCATCCAACTGCCCACTCTACTACACATTTAGGAATGCATTGACATTATTTATACAATTATTACAATAATGCAGTAGTCTGTATAATAGTAAATCTTCAAAATGGAAAGCAAGCATAATATAGGAGAGGCCTGGGGATGTAACTGATAAGAGGAAATGTTTTTTAGTGCTAGCATTGTCTACATTGTTTATTCTAGACCATATTTTTAAATTGGCAATTTTTTAATTTTGTGTGAAATTGGCCAAATTACCGATTTCTGATCACTTTATTGGATAGTTGAAATGGGTAAATGGGCAGTTTCTAGTACTCAGTCGATAGAATAAAAGGAATACTAGCAAAATAGCTATGAGTTTGGTCGACTGGAACAATGGAATTTACTGATGGTGAAATCGCTGATGGGTAAACATCGCCGAGACCTCTAGCTTTATGAGTGTTATTCCATAAGTTTTCCATCAAATTTCATATTTTGTGGTTTCATTACCTTCAGAAAAATTCTCTTATCATACAAATTTTTTTTTTTTTTTCTTTTTTCTTTCTTTCTTCAACCCCGAGAGCAAGTTTGAGATTAGGAGTCTCCACCCTGAAAGGGGTTAATCATGTGTTATAAAACTTCTTCATATCCTATACAGTAAACAAATCCTATCTACATATATTCCTCCAAGAAAACAGCGTTTTCACTTGCCCTGTTCATCCAAATTTACATCCATATTTAGTTTCCATACTGTACTTAAAAGTAGATCACATCATGTTTGTCTAATAGATTTTGCCATTCTCTTCTTTAAACCCATTGCTCCATTATACTTTAAAGTAAATTTATTCTATTTGTCTTCTATGACTTATCAACAGCCATTCCTCCATTCAGTCAAATGACTTTCTAAATATTTGAACAGTTAGTTATCCTATTTATTCACAAATTCCTCTTTGAATTCTTTGAAGTAACCATTTATGTTAAAGCTTTTGGTATACAGTACTAATTTACTCCCTTCAAATTGCAACAGTTTGGAGACAGTCAGAAACTTCGCTTGGTTCGTATCTTACGGTCAACGGTTATGGTTCGTGTCGGAGGTGGATGGGTAGCACTAGATGAATTCCTTGTCAAAAATGACCCATGCCGAGGTGAGTTTTCAGATGCACATTGTTGAAAATTAATAATGGTGGATATTTTTATACTATTTTACTGCTTTGCATAATGCTCATTAAATATTACGTGAAAACTGATTAATAACAACTAATTATAAAAGAAATAATTTGAATGATCACTGACCCACAAAGAATAAAATAATTTTAGCCAGCTGCACACAAATAATGATCATATTACAATAAAAGAATTTAATAAGGTATTGATTTTTGTTTAAATAATTTCATATATTTTAAAGGTAAAAAGTGTGTTCCCTGTTCTTTACTCACTTGATAGCATTATTAAACATGCTAGTTTATTTGTAAAGGTTTTTCTGAAATAATGCCCATCGAAATTACTTTCTCTTCATTCAAAAGATTGTGGCTCTTTAGAATAGTGCAAACTGTTTGAAGTCTTGAGCACAGTATGAGTGTATTAACCCTTTGATTATGATCCTCATGAAAATGTTGCATAGTTATGTATGTGTTTATTCATTACTTCTGTGATTTACCTACAGTTGATTGTACGTATATTAGTTTAATGTTCAACTTAGACGAATATTCTAAACAAAATTAAGCTGCGATGGCTAACAGGTGATGGGATCTTAAGTTTAGAAGTCATTTTAGTTCAAGTATTTAAGCTTCCCAGAAAATATCTTCAAAGATGTACAACCAATTTTGAACATGTGCAATTTTTAGAAAATATTTTATTGTATCATGGACAGCATACACTCTGGATTTGCCTTTTGATTACTAAAGCAAACTTCAAAGTTAGGTGTATCAATAACCCAAGCCAGCAATTCACATAATCTGCCTGTAGCCACAGCCAAGCTTGTGTGTAGCTTGATATGCTCATAAGCCTTAATAGAACTAGGTATTGATAAAATTTAGCTAGCTAACACAGCTGTTTTCGTACATATTTGCTTGTTAGAAGAGATTACAGCTAATTCTTTTTCACACTTTGGAAGACATAAAAAAAATCCATATATGAATTAGAATGTCATCTTCTGTTCAGAAGCACTGGCATGTATTGACATGGTACTGATATGCCTACATACACACAAATACACACAGTCTACATACACCAAAATACATAGGCTGAGGGAGTGACTCTGGGAAATGGCAAGTTGAAGGGCAGGGCCTGGAGCTAGGATTCAGCCCTTCCCTCCACCTATAAGTAAATGCTCAGAATGAAAAGAATTAAGTGTAACAGCTTTCAGTATGCAATAAAGGAGACAAAAGTACTTGGAATTAGTTTTATGATTATATTGCATATTAAAGAATTGCATGTTTTGTGATTTTGATGTGGATCCTGAAAATAGATAAGATGGGTTGAGAAAATGTGTAAATTTTGGGTGGATGGAAGGGGATGTAAGGGATGCCCAAGATGGGTTGGAGGGAGTAGGGGATGCCCGAGATGATGGGTTGGAGGGAGTAGGGGATGCCCTGATGCCCGAGGTGATGGGTTGGAAGGAGTGGGGGATGCCCTAGGTGATGGGTTGGAAGGAGTGGGGAATGCCTGAGGTGATGGGTTGGAGGGAGTAGGGGATGCCTGAGATGAGTTGGAAGGCATTGGGGATGCCCAAGATGATGGGTTGGAAAGAGTGCGAGAGCTATTTTGAGCAATAAGCAGTGTGAACATCTAGCAGGCATAAGTGAGCATGTTAGATCAATGTGTGTGAAGACATTGAGTTTTTGAGATAGCTGTAATGTGAGCACTCTGAAGTGGGCAAGTTTGTTGCACTTCTGGAAAGACAGCTGTTGAATAAATGATGAAATGTTTTTCTTTTGGTCACCCTACCGTAGTGGGGAAATGGACAGTGTAGTAAAATTTTGCTGTGAATGAGATGCTGTTTTGGAGTAAGGGCAATATGGTAAGAATGTCTAGAGAGGAAATGGACTTGA